TTTTCTTATATCATAACTAAAGACTATCTTTCTATTTGTACTTGTATAGTTAAGGGCCGGCCGGAGGGTAAGGCTGATCAAGCCATTGCCTTGGGCCCCAAAAATATTATATTATATTATTATGTATTATATATCTTATGTGATTACTCTTAAGAGTCCATATTTTAATATTTATTTATTTGGTTAAGAATGCACATATGAGTGAGTAAAGAGCGATAAATCTCGTATTGTTAGTAGTATATTTATTTTCCTCTTCTGTTTTAATTTTTCCTCCTTTCTTTCACATGACTTTGAGATTTCTCTTTCCAATTTCAAACTTTGTTTCTTTAATTTAGCTATTTTCTCATATTTAATTGACTCATTGATTAGAACAGAAGATCTTTTGTGTCTCACTGTTACATGAATTTTGTGAAATAGGCCTCTTAATACAATTTGGCTTTAGGCCATCAACTTTGTTGAGCCGCCCCTGATATAGTATTGGCGTGAGATGGATTTGAATAGAGTAATATGTGTATTAGGCATATAGCTGATCCCAATTTGTTTAGGACGAATGCCTTATTTCTATTGTTGTATTAGTGTATTTTGACTTATTATAGAAAATTGCTTTCTATCTTTTAATGGTAAAAATTAATGTTTGTATAAAAAATTACTTCTAAATTGTAATGACATTTTAATTGATCCGATTTATACTCCAAATTACTATGAAAATGTTTACATTTTTGTTCCTTCTTTTTACAAAAATTAAAAATAAAAATAGGATGGCAGCATACGATTCAATAGACATGTAAACTCAGATTCCTTCTCCAACAAGCTTCATTACACAGTCGGTACTAATTTCATCACTTATAAATAGTACATAATTGATTTTGAATCAATCACAAGTCACCAATTCAATGGGCAAACACAAAAAAACTCCCAAAAAAGTTCCAAAAAAATCTCCCGCCAATACATTTTGTTACAATTGCAAATGCAATTTGGAAAAACAAAGTGGTTTTAAAGCTCATAATAAGTCTCTGCACAAAAAGGATACTTGTGAATGCAAGGTATGTGGAACTAAGTTTAGATTTGCAAAGGAACTCGAAAAACATAAAAAAGAAGAAGATCATTATAAGAAGGATAATTAGATTAGTGTAACTACTGTAGTTAGATTTTAGCGACGTAGAGTACTTTTTTTTTTAAGCGAATAGTTAGAGTTGAGAATGAAGATAAGTTGAGAATGAAGATAAGGCCGAAAGATATCTGTAATCACAAAAAAATGCAGTGAGACTGGAGCATTTGCTGCCGATTTTGATCGGAAATTGATCAGAGAAAGAGATCTCAGTTTACTGAACTCATTTTTCCGAAAAATATCTGTAAATAAAATAGAATACCGTGAAATCGGAGCGTTTTCTGCTGATGTTGATATGAAATTCACACATGAAAATCCTTTTGATGCCTACTACGAGATTTTCACGACTCCGTCCGTAAGCAACTTCTCGTTGATATTAGAGTCAGTTCCATCTTCATTCTACGGATCAAAATTCTCTTTGCACTTCAATTTCGGAAAGATTTTACACTTGGAAGAATACAATTTTGCTGAAATCGTAAGTTCTAGATGTCCTTCATCCTGAAAATTTGAATATTAGCAATGTACAGTATTCATTTTGCAAGTTCTCAAACAGAGATGTTCTGATAATTTTTTGTCGCTTACTCTGAGGTTCTGCAGAGAAGTTTCACTTTAGTTCTCACCACATATACTCTGGCTGCAAGCAAGTTAACTGAGAAAACGATCATACATTCAATTCTATCATCATTCTATACGTCAACAATTTCTTCATGCTTCGATTCTGGAAAGTTTTCACACATGGAAGATCATAGTTCCGCTGAAGTTGTAAGTTCTACATGTTCTTTGTCCTTGTAATTTGGATATTATTTGAATGTTATCAACATGTTCATTTTCTTACTACTATGTGCGTGGATCTGTTTTAGCTTTTAAGCTTTCAATGTGTAATTATGTTACAAACGTGCTATAACATTTTTGCTTTCCTGTTGCCTTAAATTTTGAAGTTGTGGTTGCAAGACGAAAAGGATCTAGAAAGTTACTGGATGATAAGGATCATTCAAGTTTATCTGCACAAAAACACTGAGGCTTACTGCTCTGGCATAGTTTACGACAATCTCATTGTTCAGATTTCAGAAGCGCCTATACAGAATTTTCTGGATCGTACAGGTCAGTTGGTTACAATCTGGAATATATTTGGTGATGTATGCATATAGTGCGCGTTAGAGTTCTCTTTTCCAGTTTAACAGAATCTAGTTCTAAATGCAAGGCCTCTTCCCTTTATTATAAGGTGAGACGTGGAAAGTTGTTGTTTTCACTTTTGATGCATTTCACTGAAATTATGTTGTAATTTTTCTCAACAGAGAATAACACTCTTGACAAGTGGAAGGTTTGGTGCTGTGAAGGCCATTTAAGGATCTGTAAATTCTTCAAGCTAGCAGGTATCTGAGAAGTTTCTTATAAGGAATGAGTTAGCAGCGTTTATGCTTCGCAGCTTGCATTGACAGCTTTAGTTAGTAGCATGTGAGTTACCTTTCTCTACTGTAAAGAATGGATATCAGTTGTACAGTCGCTACCTACACAAGTTTGAGCCATCTGTAAATACACCAACGTATAGTATCTTCTTAGACAAGTTTAAGACGCCAATAAATACATGAGACTCTGCATCGTCTGTTTCTAATGAATGAGTACACTTAGTACATGTTATGCATAGATGAATGCATTTCAATTTTCTTGTATGTCATCATTTTCCCTGGGCTGAATTACCAGCTTTCTCGAGCTGATTCTCTAATTAGTTCCTCAAGTTTTCATATCAAGTTGTGCCACCTACCTTAGTTGTTTCATTAGGTTGCATTGGGACTTTGAGTACCTAAGTGGAAACTAAAAATTAGGAGGAGAAATATTCGGAAATCTATGCCTGCGACGTGTTTGCTGAAATATCCGATAAGGAAATCGACATGATAGTTGAAGATTCGGTGAAATATGATTTAGTAAAGCCTGAAACCCAGGCGTTCGACGAAATGTTTCCCACAGTTTCCACAGTTAAGTGTGATCCAGTTACCTTGTCAAGACTGACGAAATGTTGCTAGCACTGCCTTGTATGTTTTCAGCTTGCAGTCACGAGAGGTATATTTGCTTACTTAAGTGAACTCGATCATGCTAAACTTATGTTATCCTTGCATCAACTTTCACCTGATCAGTTCGGATTAGACTTTTTATTTGATCCTGGTTCTAGTTTGTTTATCACATTTCTTGGCTCTTCAACATATAGTTCAGCCATGGTTGTGGATGATTTCAAGGAGATCATTAGGATAATAGAGCGTGATGTTGATTCCACCTCCAATGATCAATGTATTTTGACTCATTTCCCATTTGACCCCGGAGCGATCTGTTCATTGTAACCCCCCGTGGATGCCTCCACGTTCCTCAATGGGACATCTGCAAACACTCTTTTACTTGTGAAGCTCAGCTTCAGGGCATGGTCCTACATTCGGAAGTTGGCTTGTGATGTACGTTTAGTTTCTTCACAAATGATAGATGGAGGTCGCAATATAAAAATCATTCTAGAGGGGTTGAACGAGGTGGTTTCCGTAATCTCCAGTCCTGGCCCTGCGTTTGGCCATTAATGCATGTCCAGCTGCTTTTGTGGCTAGTGCTCTTGGTGCTCTTGATCGTGCTCTAGCAAGCAAATCATTCTCCAGATACTAGTTCAGAGGATAATAGTATCGAGTAGAAGCCTCGACTGCAAAAGTAAACGAGTTGCTATACTTGGGTACGTGCTTGAACTTTTTCCATCTGTAAGAATTACCATAAAAAGGGAAGTTAATGAGTTGAATGTAAACATCTCACAGTCAAGAGAATCCCACCTAGTGCTACCACAAAAAAGAAAGGAAAATGTGTGACACAGAAGAAATTAGGACATTTTCCTCGATATTAGTACTGCAGAAATAATTTTAAGTAACCAACTTACATGTGTAGAATGGTGAGCAATCAGATACAACACATAGTATGACTCGAGCATCCAAAATATGAGCTTCAGCCCTATTATTTTGGCCAATAATATGGATCACCAAAAAGGTCTCTGAATGCATCAATAGCATCCAGGAGTAGTCCTTAAGTTACATATATCAGCAGTATGTCCCAAAAGGTATGAACAATATCGAGCGATGAAATATACAACAAAAAAAGATGAAGAACCATTAGAATACAATACTTCCTTCCAAAAACATTTTGACAACAATTGTGGATAACTTAACAGGGAAAGTATAATAATATATTCTAGGCGCTTAACACAAGAATTCACTAATTTCACCAGTTAAACAAGAGGATGAACAAGTCAGTACGATGGTATTTTCATCGTACCTATATTTATCGCATTCCTAGCAGAACTTGTTGAGTCTAGTCTGGAGTTGTCACATATATAAGTAAAATGAAAAAAGCTGGAAGTAAGATAAATACGACATGTATAAAGTTCCATCACTTTGAGTTGTAGAATTGTATGTTTCTTCTAAACCAGTGTGAAGCTCTGGATTGACTCCTCAAGGTTACTGAACGTCATACATATTGGTAATATACAATTATACAAAACCAGCTCTGCTATATATTGTAATTGTTCTATTGAGAGTAAAAAAGATGTGTTCCAGTCCAGAACCCAGCCAGGCCCTCTTGAACAAGCCATCTCAAAACTATTTACTCCATCTGTTTATATTGATCAATAGTTGTAACTCAATAAATTAAGCTTTAGTCCACAGAAAAGCATACTCTGGAACGTGTCTAGAAAGAAATGCTTTACAAAATAATAGTAAAGGGTTTTTATTCTGTACCAACAACGAAACTAGAAATCAAAACAAAGAAGTAGCTACTCATCCAAAGCAAGACTAAAGTAAACTAAAGAACTTGTAGATGGCAAAAACAGCGCAACCTAAGCGTACAACACAACTCAAAACTAAAATAGGAGCAATCACTTGAAGATCCATAGTGGTGGACTGAATTTGTGGTAAGATTCACCAGTGTAATGAGGCTCAATGGTTCCATCAAGCAAGTTATATATGCCCATGTCCTTCCCACCACCTCGTTCGATATTGAAATAGCTCTGCCAACAATCATCTGTGAAATAGATACAATTCCCCTTGCATCCCTCTATTTTATAGGCTTGTGCAACAGCCAAAGTAGCACTAGAGCCAAGGAATAGTGCCCTATTCCCCAAGTCCGCAACCTCTTCATAACTCTTCCTATCCACATCAATCTTGTACACATGAAACTCTTTAACTCCATAACTCCCATCTTCATCCAGAAAAGCCCCGTCTCGAGTGATCACCAGTAGTTCGCCCAACGAATGTACCATGTATAACTGTGTGCCCCTAGTTAAGCTAGGAGGTATCCCTTTGACAACTGTTGCTACAGTTGGATATTCTTCGGAACCTCTGAAGTCGAAAATAATAATGTTGCCCATAAAATCAACACCGTAGAATTGCCCACCATGCCAAGTAATATCAGAATATGCACGTCTAGGTGTCTCCACATTAGTAAAGGACTTCTGTCCTGGTCTCCAGAAAGCAAAACAACGAGGATATCCTTGAATAAGGGCCAAAACATAGTCCGATGTTGTAAGAGGATTCGAAGATATTACTGCTTTTTCCACATAATACCTACAAGAACCACGTTCCCATTCATAATCAAAACCCTCCAACATGTCCATATCTGGGAGGTTAATTACAGAACGTGAGAAAAGATGAAACAGATTCATCTTTTTTTGTTCATCAGCTGTGNATAACAAATTATTTAGTATACTTAGTTACCAATTTTAACAATGGGAAATAACGGTTTTTAGAGTTATTACTTTATTCCAATTTTGGTTCCTGTGGTATTGGACATAGTAATTTATTTAACGGCAAAGGGCCAATTATGCCTCTCTACTTTCGAAAATGATCTAAAAATATCCCTCGTTATACTATTTGGTTATCTATACCCCTGCAGTCATACTTTGGGTTCAAATATACTCCTCATTTAAATGGAGGGACACGTGTTATCGTCATGTTGGTCAATTCTAAATATCTTCTAATTAATTAAAAAGACCAATTACCCATACCCGAAAAATAATTTTTTTAAGCAATTTTTTTTTTGTAAAAACTGGAGAAAACTGAAATTATTTTTACTAAAAATTGAAAAAAACAAAAATATTTTTTTTTCAATTTTTACTAAAAAACTGCTTTAGAAAAAACTGAAAAATATTTTCTAAAACAATATTTTTGTAAAAACTGAAAAAAAAACTAAAAAGTAATTTTCTAAAGCAATGTTTTTGTAAAAGCTGAAAAAACAAATATTTTCTTCTTTTTTTTCAGTTTTTAGTTAAAAATATTTCAGTTTTTTCCAGTTTTTAATTGCTTTAGAAAATTGCTTTTCAGTTTTTACAAAAATATTGTTTCAGAAAATATTTTTCAGTTTTTTTAAAGAAGTTTTTTAGTAAAAACTGGAAAAAAAAAATATTTTCGTTTTTTCAGTTTTTAGTAAAAAAATATTTTTAGTTTTTTCCAATTTTTACAAAAAAAAATATTATTTTTCGGGTATGGGTAATGGGTCTTTTTAATTAATTAGAAGATATTTAGAATTGACCAACAGGACGATGACACGTGTCCCTCCGTTTAAATGAGGGGTATATTTGAACCCAAAGTATGACTATAAGGGTATAGATAACCCAATAGTATAACGAAATGTATTCTTAGACCATTTTCGAAAGTAGAAAGGTATATTTGGCCCTTTACCGTTTTATTTATTTTCAGGCTGAGAAGATTTATAGCCCGTTTGGCCAAGCTGGAAAAATTAGCTTATTTTGAGAAGTGCTATTTTTCAAAAGTACTTTCAAAAAATTAGCTTATTTTCAAAAATGTTATATTTGGCCCTTTGCCGTTAATTTAATCTTCAACCGGACAATGTAAGTCCAACCGTTGACAAAAACTTAAAAAGTAATCTATGAAGGGTAAATCACGTATTGCATATACTATTTTCGGCTCCGAAACACTAAAAGACTAATTTAAGATCTAAGTGGTGAAAATTATTACAAAGAAGAAAATTACACAATAAAGAAAAATGCACCAACATCAAGTAAAAGATCGTTGATGAAAATTCCTTAGGAAAAACTATTGGCTATAAGATTAGTGAATAGTGGAGCATTTATTATATATATATATATATA